TAGCCAGATTTGTAAGGTAGAATTGGGTAGAATAGTGGGGAGGAAGCATTTAGAAACTAGAGAAAATTTGTATGTTTCATTGTTGCTACACTGCAGCCTGACTGGCTCGTCTCCTCCCCACAACCCTTCCGTAAGGGGATCTCCAGTTGCCTTCAGATGGGCTTTGGGTCTCCACTCTGCACTCACCCTCATTCACAATGATATGATTTTTGTTCTTTGATACCTGATCCCTTCGACACCTCGTGATCGCACAGGGTGGTGTGCTTCTTCCATGTGGGCTTTGTTGCTTCAGAGCTAGATGTTTACCTTCAAGTCTCTATGACCCCAGACACTATATCTTGTGATAGCTGGGCACCACATGATAGCCTTTTAAAAATAGCTTCCTTTGCTGCCCTACGGATATGCAGTAAAACGCACCAATGTGAATTTGCAACTCAGGAATTATTTCAGGGACTAGAGAGTTGTACAGCCATCCCCACCTTCCAGGCCTACCTATCCATCCCTCACCTGCCCACCCCACCTTTACACCCAGGCAACTTTCTGTTTCCCTTTTCTGGAAATGTCGAATGGGAAGAGTTCAGTAATAGGCGGTCCACTTATTAAGGTCCTTTGGAAGCTCGTCCACATCGGAGCGCTCCTTCAGTGTGAGCACCTCGTGGCCTTGACCTGTTATTCTGCCACAGGGCTTTCAGACTGTCTACTTTCTGGCCCTCAAAGTATCACTGTCAACATTGCAGACACCCTTCGGGTCGACATAGGTTTTCATTTCTCGTGGGCAGACACTCAGAAGTGAGCGTGCTGGGGTCATGGGGCAAGTGTTTGGCTTCCTGTTTGAAGATCCGCCCAGTTTCCAGAGTGCTTGGGCCTTTGTAGAGCAAGTGGCAAGCTTGCAGGGTTTCCGTCCATGGTCCCCTGTCCTCGCCAGGGCTTTTCGTGATCGCTGTTTGAGAGATCTCGGGTGGTGGGAAGGGGCATTTCATTGTTTTTAAATGTGATTATACCCGACGTGTTTATCTTCTTCAGTGACATAGCTATTCAAATCTTGGTCTTCGTCCCCCTCCACCCCCACCCAGGTTTTTTTTAAGTTGGGGTGTCTCACTATCGAGGTGGATAAGAGTTCATTATACATTCTGGATACAAGTTCTTTATAAGATATAATTTGCAAATATTTTCTCCCAGTCTGACTTATGTCCTCAGTAATGTGGTTTGGTTTGGTTTTTCATTGTATCTGCATCTTTATTAAGCAGCAGATTCTGAGGTCCCCAGAGGACAGGGGGTTTCCTGATTCAGCTGAGCCCGTCGGCCAGGGCCTCGGGCCTGGCCTGGATCCTCGTGGGAGGAGCGGTGTGTCCACGCTGAGGCACGTGCTCCAGCTGAGCACCGCAGTCCAGCCTTTCCTTCAGAGCCTAGGGAGCCGCCAGTCCGTAGGCTTTCTGGAGCCGATCCACCAGCTCCTCCTCCTCGCTCTCGGGGAGGAAACCGTGCTGCGCCAAGTTGAGGCTCAGCCACTTACACTCCTCTTCAGTGAAGCCCATGTCCCTCTGGGTCATCTGGTCATCGGTGTCCAGGATGGACTTGAAGATGAGAGGGTCCTCCGTGTTGAGCGATAGTTAGCATGGTCATTTTTGAACCGGACGACTGCGTGGTCTGTCCCCAACTTCCAGGCGCCTGTGAGGTAGCGGACCAGGGGGAGACCTCGAAATGCATATTTTCCCGCTGCAGCCTGCTGTAGAGGGCCTTGTCCTCCAGGGTGTGGTAGCCGTGGCCCACCCGCTCCGTCCTGAGCGTGTCCACGGCCTCCTTGACCACAGTAGCCGAGCCAGCCTCCCCGGCGTGCACAGTGCAGTAAAAGCCACTCCTCACGGCCTCCGCATAGGCCTTCACGTGGCTTCGACGAGGCTGCTGTCTGGGATGGTCTCGTCGCCAGCCACGTCAATGCCGACCACGGTCTGCTGCCAGTACTTCTTACACAGCTCCACCACCTCCAGGGACCACTCGGGCACATGGCGCATGCAGCACAGGATGGACCGGACCTTGACCCCCTCCTGCAGACCCTGGTTAACTAGGAACACGACCTCATCGGGGTGAGGTTCCCTTCGGCCTGGTTCCAGGGTATGGGCTCCACTTTGGAGTTGGCCAGCAGGTGCCGGCTATAGCGCACCTCCACGTACACCACGCCCTCCTTGGCCTTCATCTCGACAAACTCATAGGCAATCCTTTTGATGGCTTCCCGGTAGCCCGCGATGGCGGCCATGTAGATGTCAAACTTGGCCAGGAAGCCTGGGAGGCTGAGCGGCTTGTCCATGCCGATGATGCCCTGTAGCTCCGCCGCCGTGTTGGCCGGGAAGGAGACCCCTCTCTTCTTGCCATAGTAGAGGATCATTTCCGGCTTGATGGCCCCATCGAGGTGGACGTGGAGCTCCACTTTGGGCAAGTTGAAGGCGGGCGTCTGGGTCATGGTGCCAATCGTGCGCTCCGGCGCGCTTCCCGTCTGCAAGGCCGGTGCGCCTGGGTTGCGATTGTTTCCCCATGGGCTCGCAGTCTCAGTGGCCCACCACGCTGCTCTTAACTGGGCCGGGCCCAGTAATGTGTTTTTTAATAACAGTTTTATTGAAATCTAATTCACATACTATCAAGTTCCCCGACTCAGAGTATAATTAATTCACTGGTTCTAACCTGTTCACATGAAGTTGTGCAGCCACCACTGCAGTTGGTGTTAGAACGTCCTGAACACCCCAGAAAGAGGCCTTACACTCGCTAGCACTCAGTCTCCACTACTCACTAGCCTGCACCCACCTCACCCAGGGCCATCAGTAGTCTACCCGCAGCCCGTCCAAATGTGTGCCTTCTGCACATTTCCTGTAGAATCGGACAATATGTGGTTTCTGGTGCCCTCCTTTCCAGGGCCTCTCTCTTGTGGCGTGGATCAGGCTTTGTTTCTCTTGATTTCCCAGTGAGATTCTGTGTATGGATCGATGTCGAAGTTACATAATCTGGTGTCTTTGAGGATTCCAAGTGAAGGGATGGAGTCTAGCCTGTCAATCAGGTCATAGCCAATGAGGCCTCTGTGTGGGCGTGGCCTCCTCCTGAAAATTCTAGGAGCTCCTGTCTTCCTCCCTGGAGGTGGGACACACACACTCTCTCTGCTCACTCCCTGCGAGACATTCTTGTGGAGAAGACACGTGGAGAGAGGCTGATGCAGCCAGACCTCTGGAGCCAGAGAAGCCAAGTGGAGACCCCTGTCAGTGTTGAGATGCTTACAATGCCACTGGATCCACAAGACTTCCCACCCAATGGCCTGTGATCTTCCTGCATTCAGCATCATTACATGTATTTTGGGAGTCTGAAGAGGACTTTATAGATTGGTATCAGACATATGGGCTAATATCAGACTTATGAACTTGATCTGGACTGGGCTGGGATGTTTTCTCAATATTCAATTTCTCTTCTATATAGCCTTCTTTCTTATACACATGTGAGTGTCTATGAATTTGTTTCTCTAGTCTACCCATACTAACACAATCTACCACGTTTTTTTCATCCAGTCACCAGTCAGTGGGAATTTTGGAGTATTTTTTTCCATTTCTATTATGATTAAGGCTGCTCTGACCCTCCATGCAGAAATTCTGCCTGTGGACATGGCTTTATCTCTCTTGAGTATGTGGTGTGTAGGCGTGGAATTTCTAGGTCCTGTGGGGACTCTGTGTAGCTGTTTAAGGAACTGCCCGACTCTGTTCCCAAGCAGCTGAGCTGTTTACATTCCCATCTGCAGTGGACAAGGGTTCCAGCCTCTCCACATTCTCGCAGACACTTATCTTTTTTTACTTTAGCCTTCCCAGAGGGTGTAGAAAAGAGGCCATTGGTAGTGGTGGGTTAAGCAAACAATCAACCATCCCAACCTGATGAGGCTCCCCATTCCCTTAAGAATATACGGTGTGGGGAAGTTATAGAGCATTCCTACGCTCTGCCCTGGAGGGGCCGGAGGAGTGGGAGCAGACTCCACAGCAGTGGCATCAGTGGAACGGGTTGGTGGACAGTGCCACATTACTTGTTTGACTTTGCACGGCTGTGGTGGCAAATGACGTTGAGCATCTTTGCAAGTGCATGCTGGCTTTTTTATATCTTTGGGAAAATGCCTATTAATATGTTTTGCTCATTTGTAATTAGACTATTTGTCGTGTTATCATTCAGGAGTGAGTATTCGTTTAAACTTGGGGAAGGTGGGTGGCTGGGTTGCAGCCTTTCCTCTTTCCTCTTCAATCCCTATGCTGAGTGCACCATTCAAGACACCGGACTGTGTAAAGATTGCCGTGTCAGGATTAACAACCTGTGATGTGCAGTGACACAACCTGGCTTGCCAAAAATAAAGATGACTTGGAAGCACTTACAGATTGGAAGTAAAAAAAAAAATCCCACAGCCTTCAGCATGAAGGCTACCCAGATGTGAAGAAACTATAATCCTCACAAGTAGATCAAGACCCAACATCGTGATAAAATAGTGAAGAAACTGAAGTTGTTGAGAATGTTACTCAACAGTCAGCATCCACGGAAACCACGGTCATGAAACCTCACTGTGTCTTATGCTGGAGAAATCTGTAGCAAAAAACCTCTTAAAGTCTTTTGAAAAACCAAGGTGTTGTTTGGTTGTATGGCAAAGGTGAACCTGGCTCCAGCAGGTGACAGCTGGGTAAGAAGCAGACTCGTCCCACGCAGCTGGTGGTGTTGGCAAGGAGTGTTGGCCATGCCAAGAACTGCCAGAGGAATGGACATGTCATCTGGGACTAGCGCCAGATGCTCCCGACCTCCCCTTTCCTTTCTCCAGGGGGCAGGCAGCCGAACGCCTTCCTTTCCAATGTAACCCTTCAGGGCTGGAGGGAAGCAGGGTCGGGGAGGGCGGGAGCTGTGGGCTGAGAAACTCTGTGGGTCCCGATTAAGGGACCTTTCCCCTCCTTCAAGAGGCAAGGTGCTGCAATAACGTTTCCTCTCTCTGACCCTGCCAGGCGCAGGCCACAGGATCGCCACACACGTCCCCCACTCACGGAGGCAGCCGTGCCATGCCCATGCCTGTGCGCTCCACATCTGCTGGCTCCACCCCTACCCACTGCCCCCAGGATGCTCTGAGTGGGCTGGGGGGAGACGTGCAAGAGGCCTTTGCACAAGGTGAGTTTCTGAAACAGAGGATAGTAGGGATGCTGAAGGACAGGATTCCTGGGCAGACCTTTCCCGTTTCTTTTCTGTTGTCTGCTTACCTTTCAGTGATTAGATGTTCACGTCCAGGGTACAGAAGTCCAGGGCCGGCCCCTCCTCACAAGATGGGCGGGTGTCCGGGGAAAGGTCTGCAGGTTGCACGTGTGTGAAGAGGGCCTGTGGGCTGGCTGGCTGGGTGGGGGCTGTGCTCTTTGGTGTGGGTCGTAGGGAATGCCTTGTCCTTCTTGGCTTTGCCTCCTCCGGAGGAATTGGGTGGGGGAATTCTCAGGGTCATGTGCCTGATCTGGAAGGCCTTTGAGAAGAACGGCCCTCTCCGCAGGCCCTCATTGAAGGCGCATTCTGCGTGGCATCGCCACAGTCACCTGAAGAGCTAGTGACCAGAAATTGGGTGGGAAGGAGAAAGTGGTTAAGAAGCGAGTCTTGCTGGGGCTGTAGACAAAGGCGGGTGGGGCAGGGTCCTCTTGGAGACTGTAGTCCTGCGTAAGGCTGAGAAATAGCTCGTGTCATGCTGACTCTGGAGCCCACATAGTCTCTTCTGGTTGTCTGTGGTGGCTAAGAAGAACGCAGATGACAGGATCCTGCTCCGCGGGTGGAGAAGACGGACAGAGGGAGGGGGAGGAGTGGGCTTGGGTGCCGAGGAGCAGGTGGGAGCAGCCCGGCCCACCCTTCGTCTCTCGTAGGTACTCAGCACCTCTGTCCAGTTGCCTGGCAGAACAGAGGCTTTGACTCACCTGTCTCCCCTCTGCCCCCACCCTCCCCGGCCTCGCCATCTCCTCGGCCTCCCCTCAGGTACGAGGAGGAACCTCCGCAATGACTTGCTGGTGGCTGCGGACTCCATCACCAACACCATGTCGTCCCTGGTGAAGGAGCTGCACTCAGGTGACGCCCACAGCGCCCGCCCTCCCCACGCAGCCGCCACCTTGCCACTCAGTCATTTCTGCCTCCCAGGAACTCGCCAGACATCCCCTGTCAGAGAGCCTCTCTCCCACGAGTGACCACCTAGAGCTAGTTACATATTTCAGTTCGTCCTAAGAATGTCTGTGTGCCGCACCCGAGTGGGAATTTACAGAAAATCGGCTCTCTACGTCCTCTCAGGCCCTTCCTCCCTTCATCTGTCTTCCCTCTGGGCTCCACCCACCGCTGCTCTGTCCTAGGCCTGGCCACCCATCTCCCTCGGACGCGTTCCCGGACGTCTGCAGCCGGATTGGCCACAAAGGTTCCTGGGCTTTCTCCACGCTGCCTTTCTGCTCTCTCTTCCCTTTGATTTGGTTTTGAAACCCTATTCCTTTCTGTGTCCACGGCCAGGTTCTGATTTCCCTGCAAGTTCAAGACCTACACCTCCCGCCTCCTCTGTCTTCTTGCTGAGTCTGACCCACGGCTTCCTTTTCAGTCTTTCCTTCACTTAGCTCCGGCAGGAATCACCCAGAGGCCTTTGCTTCATGACATGCTACTTCTTATATGAGACCCAGGGGACGGGGAGGGACAGCGTGTGTAAAAACAGACCATTCCCAAGAATCCCTATAACTCCTTAGTTATGTAGTTGCTGGGGATTCATCAGGATTTTCACAGTGGAAGTGTTTCCGGATGATCCTATAGTTAACAGACAGGCTCCCTTCCTAAGTGCTGCTGGTCACTCCTACTAATGGCTCTCTGGTTTCTGTGCACCCGACATAGTGCTTTTAAATGCACCACAGTCACCTAACAGGGTTCTTAAATGAAACTGTGAAGCAGTTTTCTGTGGATTATTGAGACACATATACTCACTCACACACAGCATCGAGTCATTGATCCTTGCACGCAGGGAAACAAGGCCTGGGCGTTTCTTTAGAGCTGAGGCGACAAAGCTCAGGCACTTTTCTGTGCTGCCAGAGGACCAGACCCGCTCTCCCCTGCTTCACTCTCCGGTCTGCCTGCGTCCGTTTAGAAAGGCCTAAGGGTGCGGCCCACAGTGGCTTTCCCAGGGCCATGAGGAAAAGATGCTGATTCTCTGAGTGGCTTTGTGGTTCTGCTTCTCCGTTCCCACCAGAGCACTGCCCTCCTACACACACTCACACTCACACACACACACACACACACGCACACACGAGAGAAGATGGCCTTGCGGATGACTTCTCAAAGCTTAAAAGGCCTTCCCTAATATGTGGAGTCCTGATGGTATAGTGGTTACAATTGGGCTGCCAACCCCCAGGTCTGCCATTGGAAACCCCCAGCCCCTCCAAGCGAGAAAGATGAGGCTTTCACTCCAGGTACAGAGGCCCAGGCTCAGAGACCCACGGGGCCCGCTCTGCCCGGACCTGAGCGGGTGGTTGTGACCAGCCGGAAGCACCTCTGTGACAGTGAGTTTGTTTCTTTGTTTTGTGCCCTAATATGTGATGTAGTTGCGAAACATTTGCAGAAAACAGCTGCTAATCTTTTCATTCCATTTTTCCATGAACTGTCTGAGGCCCCCATCTAATCTCCCCACAGATTCCAGAAACACCCCCCTTTATAAAGTGTCCCTTGGGGGATAGCTCCATCCCCTGTGTGGCTTCTGTGCTTAAGGCCCCGGATAAGAGGGAACAAGACCTTGTTAAGCACAAAGCCCGTAGAGGCCAAATAGCTTCACACACATGGAAATTCATCACGCCCTTCAGCAGTCCCTCAGACTAGGGAAGGATGGCTTTACCCGAATTCTGGGATATAAGGTACAAGGTCCCGTGGAGGCCACGTGGTCCAGTGCCCTTCCTTTAACCATGCAGCGAGGGCCATAGGAGGGATTCCTGAAAGTTGTGCAGCTCAGAGGGGCAAAGCTGGTCCTGGAACTCGGGGCTGGAGAGCATGCAGCTGCTGCTGTCACCGCTACACTGCCCTTGGCCCCACCCAGGACCACATACTCAACCTGCAGTCCCCCCAGTGTCTCCCCCCAAAGTTCTGAGACCTGTAGGTCGATGTAGTCTCTCTGTGGCCCAGTGGCTCCATGGAGCCATGCAGTGCTGAAATGCACACCCTCTGCACATGCGCACAGCAGCCCTGCCCACCCTGAGCAGGTGCTTCTAGCACATCTGACCATCTCCTTGAGGGAGTGATTTTTATTCGGATGAGATTAGGTTTTTGTTAGACTGAAATTATCTTTATATATTTTTACACAACATGGCTATTACATATACTCTGATCTCCTGCTTTAAAAAAAATACTTAAAATATAATAGAATGCTAGAGTTGGAAGTAAACTTACAAAGTAAAGTCCTCTGTTTGAATATTTCCAGTGAGCTCATTCATGACCAGCTCAAATCATTGGAAAGTTCTACCTCACTGGGGAGCCAAAATCTGTCTGTCTTTCTCTAACCAGCTTATCCTTATTCCATCCCCTAAAACCACCTTGGAATAACTTCAGTCTCTCTTTCTCATTTTCCATAAAACTAAAACAAACATACTCACTGCCATTGAGTCGATGCTGACTCATGGGGACCCTCCAGGACAGCGTAGAACTGCCCTGTGAGAGTCTGAGACTGTACCTCTTTGGAGGAGTAGAAAGCCCCATCTTTCGCCCATGGAGCGACTAATGATTTCGAACTGCTGGCCTTGTGGTTAAAAGTCTAACATGTAGCCTACTGTGCCCCCGGGACCCTTCCTGTTAACCTTTCAAATATCTGGTCGAAGATAATGTCACTCTGTTGTCATCCTCATCGTCATTAGCTTAACTACAGGTCTTTCACACACACACACACACACACCAGCTAACATGACTCGGTTTCCCCGCACACTGCCACTTGTTGACCTCCCTGGGATGTGACCTAGTTTTCCAAGGCCCCAATTCACAGGGAGCACCCGGGGCCACGCCCACATCTGTGTGTCACTGGGATCCCAGCCTGGCTTCCCTGGAGTAGAGTCCTGATGGAGCAGTTGCAGGTGCCTGGGTCTTCCCCCAGCACAGCCACACGGAGCTGTGGAGTCGGTTCACATTGGTCACCAGTAAAACCTGACAACTGAATCTCGCGAACCGACACTCCCATGGTGGTCTTCTTGAACCTGAAAATAGGACATGAGCAGTAAACCCAGTAGATGGTGTCACCTTAGGGAAAGTAGGCAGGCACCCTCCCCTCAGTCACCCAAGGGGCCCATGGCAGAGCCGGCAGCAAAGTGGGTGCCATCCAGCTGCTCTGCCTCTTAGGGCCGGGGGCACGTGGCGGCACCTGTCAAGCCCTGAACCCTGCGTATATACATACATGCAGTGCAGCCTAGGGAAGGCCACCATTCCCAGAGGCGTGCAGCCGGGAGCCCAACCGAGCCTCATAAATGACTCCCTGCACCCTGCCCCTGGGGTTTCACTGTGCTGAAGGGTCACCGGCCTCCTTGACCTCGTTTTCACAGCAGAGGAAGGTGCGGAAGAAGAAGAGGAGAAGATGCAGAATGGGAAAGACAGAGGTAAAGGCAGCTCATCAGGACACCCCTAGTTTGAACGGGAAGCCAAAGCCATAGCCCCTGGAATGAGACCCCCACCCCTTTTGTCCGCTTCCCCTCCCGCACCGCCTTTCTGCAGAGCTCTCAGACCCCTCTTGCTCCTTCTGCCTCATTTCCAGCTAAAGGCCACCCGATGGGGTCACAGCAGTGGGCCAGTAGAGGCTTCCTGATTTCCAGATGCCATGTTAGAAGGTTGGGATATAGGAATCACATACAAATAAGGCCCCAAAACTTGACCCTGAGCCACAATTTATTTTATAATCTAGTTTGGAAAGCATGATTAAGGGACACAAAATAAAGAAAAGTAAGACAAAGTGGCCCAAAAATGTTCATGGTCAAACCTGGACGGTCACTAAGGATTTATGAACAAGAAGCGATGATTGGAGACTGGGATAACCTAATGGCTTTGTGGTTTCACAGGAAGGGTTCTTAAAAAGATGTCGGCAAAGAACAGTAATGCCTTTCTGGTTTCATTACCTATGAAGCCTACCCAAGAACGTCTACACTAAGAACTATGCTATGTGGTTTTCGGATACAATCCTCACTTTCGGGTTATATAATAATATTCCCATTTAATGAGGAAGAAATAACCTTAGAGAGTTGGGATCACGCAGCTATCCAGGGACAGAGAGTTGGATTTAACCTGGGTCTTTCCAACTCCAGACGTCATGCATCTGTGTTACACTGAACGGATACCCCAATTCTTCGTTGGACACTTCCTATCACCTAGTGATGTGGGGATCCTTCTGAAATGGAAGCACAGCAAGCGAGAAGGCGGGGTCTTGTTTTTTCATGCTAGAGCAGCGGTGCCTGGCAGTGCCTCCTCACAGTACGGCCTCAGTAAACGGGCCAAGACGAGAGGGAACCCGGCCCTTGGCCGTTGGTAGATTGAATGGCGCGGTCACCTGGAGGAGGCCAAGGTGTGAAAGATGAGAAGCAGCTAGCATGAACCGCTCCCTGGATGGGGTGCTAAGCACTTCACACCCACTAACCCACCCCCAGTTTGGCGGAAGGATTTCAGACCAGGATCCCTCCGAGGGGTTAAACAGCTTGTACCGGAAATAAGTGGCAGAGCCTGGGTTTAACGCAGGTGTCTCTAACCCCAAGGCCATGCTTGGGTGGCAACAGAAGTAGTAGACTAAGTGAAGCGGGGGGAGGGGGGGGTGTCTTGGCATTTCGAGAACCAAGGAAGGTTAGGACGCAGTGAAAAAGGACCAGGTGTGAGGGAGGGGAAGCGGGCAGCCGGAGGGGTGGAGACCCCGGGCTGCTGTTGGCGAATAGTGCTGGGAAGGCTAGTGCAGGGAAGAGGCGGAGGCCTTCGGAGCCTGCGAGGACAAGG